GGTGGGAGCCAGGGCCTGCCGTCAACACCCTGCAGCAGCGCTCCAGGGCTGGCAGCACTGCACCCCCGTGCTGGCTGCACCCCACTACACCCCGCAGCGTGCCCTGGGGCCGCTCGCGCTGCTCACCGTAGCAGAAGGCGATGCCCAGGCACATGAAGAGGGCGACGATGATCAGCCCAAAGCCGGTGCTGTACGTGTCAATGAGGGTGAACCAGAAGATGCCGCCCTGTGAGGTGGTGAGGGATGGGGTCAGCACGCACGGCCAGGGGCAGCAGGGTGGGTGCGGGGCACCCCGAGGCCACACTGTCCGTGCCAGGGAACACACGTGGCCCTCTATCCCTGTCCCAGGAAAGGAGGCCGTTTCCCCAACCTCCACCCTGACATCACCCGAGGGCGCTGGGTGCTGCTGGATGGGGCCCCCGTACCTGGGTGACCAGCAGGAGCCCCAGCAGGTAGAAGGAGGTGCAGAGCACACCCAGCAACGCCACCTTCCTCCTCCAGTCACGCAGGGCTGGGAACTCGTCCAGGATGGCGGTGGTGATGCCCTCGATGTTCCCAAACTGAGGGACGGGGGATGTCAGTGGGGTTGATGTCCCGGTCCCTGCCTCCCCTGGACTGCGTGCAGGGGACGGTCCTCACAGAGGGGACTTTGCAGGGCACAGTCCCCATGTGCATCCCCATCCCTCTGACGCCTGGGCACATGGAGAAACCCATGCCTTGTGCCATCACCCGGGTACTGCCCCACATGCATGGGGCCATGCATCCCCCCTACCCCAGCACCATCCTCACGCTCCTGGCCTGTGCACGTCATGCTGTCTGCGTGCCCGAGACGGGGTGTACCTGGCACCCCAAGGCCAGGCACGGGGAAGGACAAGGGGCTGCCTGGGGTGACAATCACCAAAGTGTCCACTCCCAACGTGAAGAGCATCAGGAAGAAGAGGATGGACCAGAACGGGGAGCCGGGCAGCAGGGAAAGGGCTTCGGGGTATGCCACGAACGCCAGCCCAGGGCCTGCGGGGGGAGAGGAAGGGAAGTGCAGAAGGACACGTGGTGGTGAGATCAGCCGAGCCCAGCAAGCCGGTCGCCAGGCTGGGTGTGAGCTTGGCTGCAACCCCACAGCCCCGTCCCTGCGCAGAGCACCGGGATGTCCCCTGGCACAGCAGGAGTTCCCCCTCCCCGAGCCCATACCTGAGGCGGCAACGCTGCCCACGGGGACTTGTTTCCTCCAGGCCATGTGTCCCAGCACTGAGAAGATGGCGAAGCCGGCCAAGAAGCTGGTGCAGCAGTTCCCAATGGCGATGAGCAAGGTGTCCCTGCCAGGGACACCCATGGGGTGAGGATGGACACAGGGGCATCCTGATGGGCCACACGGTCCCGCAGGGACATACCTGAGGCGGCAACGCTGCCCACGGGGACTTGTTTCCTCCAGGCCATGTGTCCCAGCACTGAGAAGATGGCGAAGCCGGCCAAGAAGCTGGTGCAGCAGTTCCCAATGGCGATGAGCAAGGTGTCCCTGCCAGGGACACCCATGGGGTGAGGATGGACACAGGGGCATCCTGATGGGCCACACGGTCCCGCAGGGATCAGACCTCCC